TCTTATACACATCTAGATGTGTATAAGAGACAGCAATAATATACTCCTGGTTGCTTGCCATGGGGGGTAAGGAGGAGGGAGAGGAGGGGGAGGAGGAGGAGGGGGAGGAGGGGGAGGAGGATGAGAAAATGGAGCAGAGGAAGGGGGAGGGGGAGGGGGAGGGGAGGCAGAGAAGGAGGAGGGAGAGGAGGGGTAGGAGAAGAGGGAGGAGGAGGGGAAGGAGGATGAGAAGATGGAGCAGAGGAAGGGCGAGGACGAGGGGGAGGGGAGGAAGGAGAGGGGATAGAAAGGGGAGGAGGAGAAGGTGGAAGAGGATGATGCATGGACTAACGAAGCATGCGACAAAACCATTGTGTAAGTCTCGTCACATGTATAGGCTGCCGACGCTGGCGAGCACGAATGTAACAAGTCCATCCTCGGGCCAATGTCGAAGGACTATGGCCACGGGAAAGCAAACGGCGGACGAGCATAGTTGCGGCCGTTCTGAAATCATCTATGGCAAGCAGGGCACACGTCAGCACATGGCCTGGGACACGCTGAGTCCCGGTCAGTCGAATCACTTGGTTGTGCAGTCGAGTTCAGATTACTCGTACCCTGCAATCCTCTGTGTGGGTGGGTGGGTGGGTGTCGGTATCTGCTGTCATGTTTGGTATACACAATTCTAAAAAAGGGCACGACTGTGCCAGACAGTTTTATCGGGGTATGTTCGTCGGTATCTGTGTGCTGTCATGCTCACTATACACAACTCCACCAAAAAAGCGTGACTGTGCCACAGACGTTTCATTGGGGTTTTACCGACTCATCAGGCTGTGTGTGTGTGTGTGTGTGTGTGTGTGTGTGTGTGCGTGTTGTTATGTTTGCTATACACAACTCCATTGAAAAAAGCATGACTGTGACAGACTTTTTCGTCGGACTTTCTCCAAGTCATCAGGGTGTGTGTGTGTGCGTGCCACACGTGGCATACGTCTAACAAGGCCCTCTTAAATGTGATGATGCTTTCCTCTTTTGGATTCCTGGATCAGTGCAGCAACGGACTCCGTTCTCTCAGAAGAAGACATGGGACTCTCAACAGAGGTGAGACCTTTATGCCATATGATGAACTCTTCACGCACATCTGTCTGCAACATGCACTTTGGAACCATGCCTTTCGGGAGCCATGCTGTTTGCTCTCATCTTATTGGCCGGGTTAGAAAATTTGAATTCTTCCTTCTCATTGTGACTGGAAGCTGTACCATATATGTACATTGTGACTGGAAGCTGTACCATATATGTACTCTTACGAATTTTTTGTTATGTTCATCTGATTGCAACTGAATTTGAACTCAGGTCTGTTTGCCATGGATTTGGGGTCGATCTGTTGGCTGCTGGCTGATGCTTGAGTTGTCCTGGTTTGGTTTGCTTGGATTGCTGCAATACTGAAGTGCATCGTTTGTTTTGCTTGCTCTCTCTTGTTGTGCAAGCGTATTGATATTCATATTGCTATTGCTACTTGTATCGATATTGATGTCGACATTGATAGTGATCAGCAGCAATTCCGTTGTGGAATTCATTTGATGCCTTGTTCTTCGTTTTCTGCGTGAAGGGCCTTTGCTCACTTTGGAAAAGAAGACGACAAGATGATGGTTAGCTCCCAAGCTTTATTAAACTGCCGGTATATACCGTAATGGCGGCATTGATTCGGCATTCGTGGCCATGCCCCCCAGGGTTTGGAGGCTGTGTACGAAATGCCACAGTTCTATCTGAAAGTGAGCGGGGCCTTTCCCGGTCTGGCGAATGCCGGGCTCACACCGCACCGTCTGGGCATGCCAGGAAGGGAAGATCTCCCTCAGGTAGTGATGGCATGCCATGTAGGTTCTGACCAACGACGGCCTTGAGATATCATCATGTTGAGCTGACCAGCCCGAGGCAGTTCAGAAATTGTTTGTTTGTAACTTTGTATTCATCATGTACCATCATTTGGATTCAAACTCTCTGGTCTGTATTTCAACAGTTCAGGGGTGCACCCACTGAGCTAGGCTCTTGGGTAATGACTAACTGTTCTGTCGATGGTGTGTGCGTTTCTGTGAACCGTCTTGGCATCCGTCCTCTGCGCTGCAGGATGCACAAGTACAGGAGCAGCTGGAAGAATCTCGTAAGGCGGCTGAAGCAAAATGGAATCTCCGGCAAGCAAACAGGTCACCAGACAGGCCAGGTACTGAGCATCGACAATGTGTCAGGTGATCGTGCCATTGGCCACGAGGACTCCAAACTGTATAACTTGTCTGCCTGTGCGAACGCCAGTGTTGCACAACCGCTGCCCCACCATTCATTACCGGAATACACTTCCACACCACTGCTGCACACACTCACCCGCACGCGCAGGCCTCAGTCTCCCCTCCCACTTGTTGTGTCGATGAGCGGCATTCGGACTTTGATGCATCCTGTCCATGCACCGGTTTAGGCCTCTCCCTCCCCCCTACAAGGCGTGTTGTTAGGGATTCCATGTCTGTGATGATGCCTCCTTCCTTGTCCATGCATTGGTTACTGTTGAGTGGGGTTTGAGAGCTTGCATAGCAAAGGTTGAGGGTTCAAGAACCCCTCTTTTTCCCCCCTTCTAAGCTTCACCCTTGTGCAATGGCATGGGTGGGGCACTTTCCCCCCCCCCCTCTGCTTCTCTATGTCCTATGTTCAGATTGCTATCATCTTTTTCAGCGTACCTCATTGTACATGATGTGTTCTGTTTGACTTCGCGCGGCATGCCCTCCGAACTACCATTCGTATTCTTTTCCCCCCCCTGGAAAGGTTGGGTAGCCCCTCACATTATTGTACTCGTCTGATTCCGTAGAGATTCAACTCGTGCTCCTCTGTTCACTACGCAGTTAGGGACGGTTACATGCGTGTATTGTTCAGCTGCGTGGGCCAGGTGCTCTCTCCATTCTTTATGCCTGCTGGTTCTCCCTGGTCTTTGTTGTTTTTATCCCGGAGGCTTGTAAGTTTTTGGTGTTGGTTTTTGCCGTTCTTAATTTTTGTCTGCACTTGGTGGCATATGCAGTCGGGTACATTCATGGTAGTCCCAAGAGCAGCCTGGAAAAAATAGTGCTCAGTCCAAAAGCAGCCTGGAGTTGTGTGTGGAAAACTGGCTGTGGCTTGCCCAGTCTTGAACCCCCCTCCCTGACCATCGACGCGAAAGACTCTTGTTGGACTATTGATTTGCTCTTTTTCCCTTCTTAAAAAGGGGATCCTCTAATGTTGCTGCATCCATCAAACTCCATCAGAATCAAACTCATCATCTGTTCCATGGTTACAACGGACCTGGACCTGGACACAGCAGGACGTCCGGCGGGACGGACGTATGGACTAACTGGATGTCCGGGATCAAAAGGAAAAAGGAAAAATGTTACAGAAGATTAACAGAAGGTATACAGACGGGAAGTGAATTGGGCCAAACCTACCTAAAGGAAGTATCCAGCCTGTGCACCTCTCTCTCTCTCTCTGTGTCTGTCTCTGTCTCTCTCTCTCTCTCTCTCTGTCTGTCTCTCTCTCTCTCTCTCTCTCTAAATCAGAATCAGTCTCAGCCCGGCCATCTTTGGTTTTCTGAAAGGGCTCTAAAATAGTTAAAAAAAAAATAAAATCTCAAAACAATTTTTTTAGGGGTAAAAAATAGCCAAAAAAACAAAAAAAATTCCGGATGTCCCGGACCGGATGTCCGACCGGACATCCAGACGCGGACGGTCTGGACTGGGACCCGGATGTCCGGATCGTAACCATGATTTGTTCATTCATCAAGAGTTTTACATCTGTGTAGGATTCATAGTAATTTCACACTCATATTTTGACCGAAAAACAGCAATCTCTCTCTCTCTCTCTCTCTCTCTCTCTCTCTCTCTCTCTCTCTCTCTCTCTCTCTCTCTCTCTCTCTCTCTCTCTNCTCTCTCTCTCTCTCTCTCTCTCTCTCTCTCTCTCTCTCTCTCTCTCTCTCTCTCTCTCTCTGTGTCTCTCGCCCCGCCCGCGCCCCCTCTCTTGTAGAGGATCAGAGTTGTGCTCCTTACATCCTTTTGTGGGGAGGGTGGCATTGGGGGGGGGGCGGGCGGGAAGTCCTCACATCCCAGTGGTCTCAGCAGAATACTCCTCTGGTGTAGGTAGATATCTTATCATCCGTTAAAAATTGGAAAAATACAGAGAAGATTAGCATGGCCCCCCCACGAGGATGACATGCATGAATCGGGAAATGGACCAGTGGTCCAATTTTATTTAATTTTAATTTTATTTCTTATTATACACATAGTTCATCTTGAACCAGAGGGCTCACCAAGCAACTAGCCATACATTGGGTGCATGAAAAGGGGCTCCCGGGGGGACCAAGTAGCAGGGCCCGTGAGCTTCAAGATCGCAGAGAAAAACACCGGTGCACACGGCACATCCAATGGCAGCAGCCTTGCTCTCTGTACCCTTGATTTAACCGTCGCAACTCTAAAACTACCGTTCAAGTGTCACTTATGGGAGTTCATTCCCCCGCCCCATCGTGAAATGAAGTACATTGTTGTTCGAGGGAACTAGGGAACTCGGGGAAAAAAGACTTACGGGATTTCGTGCCGCGGAACTCGGGGAAAAAAGACTTACGGGATTTCGTGCCGCTGTCGATTCCTGTTTGATTGTGCAATCCTCGCTTTCGATCTGGGTGGGTGTTGTTATTGGTCTATTTCTAGTATTTCTAGTATTCTACCTTTCGGAGTGGTCTTCTTCGACTATTTCAGAAAATTTGTGTACCTCTTTCTTAAACTCTGCGATGGCTAGTTCTTCCAAGGAGTCGAACCACACATTTGAACCATCGGAGAGTACTCAGTGAAGTGTCTCCACCTGTCCCCGTCAACAGAGCCATCGCAGAGTTTAAGAAAGAGGTACAAAATCGGACAGGTGGAGACATTTCACTGAGTACTCTGGGAGCTGTCTTCGAGTCTTAGACAAGTTGTTTTCCCTTCTTTCCGTTTTACGTGTTTTTCTATAAGAACGATGTAAGATCCTTTTTCTTTTTTTTTTCTTTTTTTTTGTCCTTCCTCTCGGAGAGATCCAAACTCTCGTGGGTATAACCCATGTATTGTGTTTGATAGGGGACTGTTGTTGAACCTGGGGGGGGGGGGGGGGGGGGGGGGGGGGGAAGGGAATTGTTCATGAAATTGTAAAAAGGAGGGTACTTTTGGCAGGCATATGTTTAATAAACGCACAAGAGTTACAGAGTTCGAATCTTCAACTGTTTTTGGTCCCCGGATGGACCGGGGACCCCTACCCCATCCATGGTCCTCCTGGTTGGACCGGCCGGTGGCCCGGGCCGGTTCCCTCCTGGTTGCCCCCAGTGCATTTTCGCTGTGGCCTGAATTTTTTGTTTTTGCCGCCGCGTATGTGTTCCCGAGGCCTCGTGGGGGTGGGCCCTACCCCGCAATTTCGAAACCGGGTCCTGTAGGCCCGGATTTTTCAAGTCCAAAAAGTGGCTAATCTTGGCCGCCGATCGTCGCAGATCAGCGGCGAAGATTGGCCAGGACCCATTTCTTAAGAATAACGGGCAGAGGATATCCGCCGCTGATCTTTGCAGATCAGCAGCAGAGAACAGCCACACATTTTTCTTAAGATGTGGGTCGGGTAGGCCCCTTCTCCAATTTGTCATCTTGTGGTCCAACGGACCAGTTACCATTGGCAACATCTGATGCTCTTCCACTCTTAAGCCACGAGGGGAACACTATGCTTGTGGTGAGGCTCTGCTGAGATTATATCCTTCTGCGACGTCCCTGCCATCTGTGGAAAAACTTATGGGTTCGGATTTTGGAATCGTGATGTCAGAGCCGTCCGAGGTGCAAGCCCAAGAATGGACCTAAGCTATATTCTTCTCTCTATCTATCTCGAATGAACCTTGCTCCACTACATGTATCTGGACAGACTGCCAGGCAAGATACTTCCGGACTGATAACTCACCTTATGTAGAAACCAACAAACAGAAAACGCTCTGCCTCCACGAGCTGAAAGCTGGAACCATAACTCTTCTGCTGTCGAGTTRTACTCTGGAAGAGCTATAACTTCTTGCAAGGACCTCCTCTCATCATATCTGGTTCAGCTCGTGGGGTATCAATATCAAGTGACACACTCCACAAAGTGCTCCAGCCACGGGGGGGTCGGATAAGTGAACTTGCATACTTGATCCCTCCCTGTGGAAGCTATATTTGCCTGAATATGTCAATAATAACCCCCTGCCCCCCTCTGGAAGCCCCCTGAAAAGTATTGCACCTTGAAAATTTTATTGCGGATTCCGACAGCTCTTGAAGAGCGCAGTCGGAATCTGCCAAAAAAAAAAAAAGAAAAAAAAAAAGAAGACATTTGGGCACTTCTTTTTCAAAACCGGTTTCCCGGTTCACCCCCCCTGGGCTGGTCCGGCTCCGGTTGGACCGGGGTAGCTCAACCGGCTGGTTGCCAGCCCAGCACTGGTTTTTATATGTTTTTTGTTAGCAAATATCCGGTTCGTCTTGTCCCCGTCAACAGAGCGGCTGTAACTTGTGCTTTTCTCAATTCTGTCGACGTCCGTAAATGTGCTTTTTTCAAGTTTTTTGCCAGTAAAGGAATTTAGTAATTTTACTAATTTTAAGATTTACCATCAATAAATGTGATGTCTGACTTGATCTACCACTGTTACTGAGGGTGGTATATCAAGTCAGACAAGTAAATGTGCTTTGACTGACTTGATGTGCCACTTTTACTGAGAAATCACCAGCAGTAAATGTGCTTTGACTGACTTGATGTACCACTTTTACCCAGGGTGTCTGACTTGATGTAGCACGTGTTTACGGAAGGGGTTTATTCCCACACCCTCAGTGACTGTGGTGCATCAAGTCAGACAGCATCAATAATAATAAACTGAATTTTTGCTGTCTTTTTCTTTCGTTTTCTTTTTTCTTTTTGTAAATTGTAATGCCGTGCTTGCCACTGTTATTGTATTATCTTTCAGATGCGATTTTCTTGAGGACACTGGACTCCAACGTGAGAAGAAACACCTCCGTCATAAGGAAGCTCAAGTTGATTAGCGAAGATCAACGGGAACTCCTGCTAGAGGAGCTTCGTGCAGTGAACCTGAGCAAATATGTAACGGAGGCCGTTACAGCAATTGCAGAGGCGAAGTTGAAGACGGCAGATGTAACGGCAGCTGTGCAGGTAGTGGAAATGGATATGGAGTGTTTTTTTTTTTTTTTTGAAATGAAGTGAACCTTGTGCAATGTGGTTATTGTAGGACATGTCTGGAAGTGGCCTACTCACACGCACACACACAAGGACGTTTTTGAACTAATGTGGTGCTGATTGGAAGAGAAAACGGATGTCAGAAAACAAAACAGAACATCTGACCAGGAATCTCTTTGTCTCTCGCTCTCTCTCTCTCTCTCTCCCTCTCTCTCTCTCTCTCTCCAAGAAACATGTAGATCCCAATAAACAATAGAGATGAGAACACAATGAACAACGTCCGACTTGGTCTCTCTCTCTCTCTCTCTTTTTCTGGAAACAATGCAGGTCCCAATGAGCAACGGAGGTCAGAACACAATGAACAACGTCTGACTAGGACTCTCTCTCTCTCTCTCTCTCTCTCTCTCTCTCTCTCTCTCTCTCTCTCTCTCTNGTTGCACCGCGGGAGTGCGGCGAAGTAAGTAGCATGCGTAGGTAGAATGTGTCACCTGCGTTTGGATGGATGCTGTGGATACGGCCAATAGTGTTTGGTGCACATTGTCGCAGGACCCATTGTTTACTTGATTTATCAAATCTGGACCTACGGACCATGTCTTTGTAAAGGGGCTTGGTTTCTTGAGGATCATGAAGATGTGTAGTATTCCATTTGAACCATGCTGTGAGTTCGGTTTCGGGCGGCGGAGCATGTGCAATTTGTTGAGCTACTCTCTCTCTCTCTCTCTCTCTCTCTCTCTCTCTCTCTCTCTCTCTCTCTCTCTCTCTCTCTCTCTCTCTCTCTCTCTCTCTCTCTCTTCCCAAAAACAATGCAGCTCCCTATCCCTGTTTTGGAAAGTATGAAGTCTCGTGGTTTTCCTTCCAGCCCCGCCGCCGGGCTCTTTCTCAAGTTACATGGCTGCGACTCTTCTCAAGCCCCTGGCTATCGCTGTTTGAATCCAAGGGCTATGGGTCACCTACACCTGAAACAGTGCCTCCCATCTTTCTCAAGACTTTMCCCTTCTGACCCTTTCGAGCGTGGYCATCTCTCCTTTTCTCCCGTCAAGGCTCTTTAGGTTTGAGACCTTGGGACTGGCTTTTCTACCTCCCMAAGGTYRTCTGCATTCTCTCTATCTAGGTCTGCAATTTGTGCCCTGTCCTTGGTCCGGTCCAKTCCTGTGGATRTGTCGGCTGGAAGGCGTATCGCAAGATACTGCAGGGCAATCTCTCTGCGGCGTTGTTATGGGGCAACTCAGGTACAGAGCGGTGGAGAGAAGGTGGCATCGTACAAGTTCTTGAAGAAATAAACAGAACAAGTGGACCTGCCGCGGCTCCGCCCGCGGCGAGAAGGGCGAAGGTTGCGAGAGGCGAGGATGGGGGGGTAAGGTAGTAGAAGTTGTCCGCACACAGCATTGGACATGGTTAGCAAAAAGAAAGAGTTTTTTCTGTGTTATGTCCCTTTTTTCTCTCTTCTCTCTCCGTCTCTCGTAGTGTCTCTCTGTCTCCCTCTCTCTCTCTCTCGCAGTTTTTCTCTCTCCCCCTCCCTTTCTCTTTCTCTGTCTCTCTGTAGTCAAATTGGACATCTGCACCTGCAAACATCTATCTCCCTTTGTCTCCCTCTGCCCCCCTCTGTCTGTCGTTGAATCGAGCGCAGCGAGTATCGTACAGGGAAGTGCCAAAAGTCGACGTATGCAAACATCAGGAAGCAGCACCTGAAGCTCTCTCCGTCTTTCTTTCGGTTGTCGTTGAGCCGAGTGTGGAAACATCTCTGTTTGTTGCAGCTGCATCTTTATGATGTCACCGAAGAGCTTGCTGGCAATGTTCGTGGTTGGCGAGCCTTATGTGGAGCGGCTGGAGGAGTCGTGAGCATGGAGAAGTCGTAGAGCCCTGCGAACGATATCAGTCCTGTAGACAGGGAGAGGAGGGAATTGGGATTGCATTCCACGGTGATAGACAGCGATGAGATTGCTGAGGTATTCCCAGGTGCGTGGGGCGTGCGGGATGTTGTAGATGGGAATTGTGTGGTAAGAGTTTAGCATGTCGTGGATAAGGGGAGTTGCACACCAGTCTGGATCTGTTTCGCGTGTGGGAAGAAGGAGGGGTGGCGGCGTAGGTTGTGCTGAAGTGATGAACGCGTATTCGTGGTGTGCGTCGAGAATACGGTCGTGTCTGTATTTTAGTAGCCCAACATGAGAACCTGTGGTACGGTAGTGGTCACGTTGCAGGAGTTGTAGCAGAAACGTTTTGGATTGTGTGAATCTGGTTGTGACGGAGGGGGTGGGTGGGGGTCGATTAAGTTCTTGCTCTCGGTTGTGTTTGTATGCAGCGAAGAAGGTGTAGAGAGAAGGGGAGAAAGCAACATGGTCTGTGAGAAGGAAGTCTTCCCATAGAATTTGGTCGATTATGTGTTCAATCGTGTCAGTGCGAAGGACATGATGCCAAGCATCCCATTTTGTGTACTCATCAGCACTGTCTGTAGGGGCAGAGTGTGGTTGATAGCGAGGTTGTGGTGCGGGGATATCGAGTTGGCTAAGTGTAAGCTCATCTAGACCATGCTGTTCGATAATTGAGGGATCTGATAATAGCGACGAAGGAGTTGCAGTGGTTCGTCGAGACGGAGAAGATAGTGTCGGGTCGGGAGAAGGAGATGGTGTTGTATGTATGGTGGGGGAAGGTTGGGAGGATGTATCCGTCGGCGGGGTAGAAGCAGATGGTGTATGAGTCAGAGGATGTAGTTTTGAGTTTTTTGGGAGCTGTTGGCGTTGTCGGAGCACTTGCACAGAGGACAACAAAATGCATGGAATCGTGTGAGGAATTTGATAATCAGACATTTCTATGGACATACTATGCAAGAATTTCTGTGTATACAATATTTGTGGTTTGATCAAGCTCAGTTGGGAGGGCAAATCGGATGTGGGAGGGGTTACCAACATGAGACGCGGCAACGTAAAGCTGGCCATGGGCAAAGGCTGGTTGTCGAAGGTTGATGCCTGCGTGTTTGATTGATTGTCCTTGGGATTTGTTTATTGTGCTTGCGATGGCTGGACGGATAGGAAGTTGTCGTCGTTGCCATGGAAATGGACTTGTTTGATCTGTGATTGAAAGCAGAATTCGTGGGAGTAGAGCGGGTTTGAGTGATGGCAAGATGCGCGAATGCAGCAAGCGGTTGTTGGTTATAGAGTCGAGAATCAGCCGCGTGCCATTGCAAAGACCATTTCTCATCGCTATGTTACGCAAAAGAATGATGGGAGCACGTTGTTTTAGGTGGAGAATATGTGGTGGTAGTGAAGGTAGATCTAGACTATTAAGAGTGTCGATAGAGATGTCGGGATATGTATCGTTTGGGAGGAGTATGTTGGCACTAAGGGATGTGATAGGAGAGCCAGGAAATTGGTAAAGGATTATTGAGTTCAGTGCCGAAACAATTTTATTTTTCGGTGCTAGAATAAGGCGTTCGGCAAGCTATTGTGGGTTGTGATAGTTGGTTGTAAGATTGGGAAACGTCCAGCCAATGAGGTCCATCGTTCCTCGATGGAGGCACAAGTGAGATGGAAGGGTAATTTTGTTGGGCGACGCCGGGTCCGGTTGCTCCAGATTGCCATTGCCGAGTGCGAGTAACCATTGAGCATACTATTGGACTTCGAGAGAGTTGTTCAGGGCGAGAACGCGCATGTTTTCAGTCAGGTGCATCGTTTGGAAATGTTCCCAAAGTGGTGAAGAGTTTATACATGCAGCAATTGTTTGTGCGCGGGTTCCTTTGGTAACAACAGACAAGATTTGCCCGAAGTCACCTCCGAGGACCATAACTTCGCCACCAAAGGGTAGGGTAGAGGAACAAATATATTGAAATGTTATGTCCATGGCTTCAACCTGGTATCTGTTTATCATAGAAGCTTCATCCCAGACAATAGTGACTGGCATGCGAATGAGGTCGGCAAGCATGCTTTGCTTAGGAATGTCTAGAGTAGATGTTTCGGTTGGTGTTAGTGGTGCTTTGAAGCGAGAGTGAAAAGTTCGACCTCCGGCGAGGAGTGTTGCTGCAATGCCACTTGACGCAACAACTAGAGCAATTCGGTCTTGCAATCGTATATGTGCGAGGATGGTGTTGAAGCAGAAAGTTTTTCCAGTTCCTGGAGGAGCATCAACAAAGAGGCAGAGCGGTTCATTATTTTCCGTAGCGGTGACAACCCGTTGGAATAGTGCATGTTGTGATGGTCGAAGAAGCGGAAGATTGATATCGAGTGTTTGTTGCAATTCTTGTATGTCATACGATTTCATCATCAATTAGTCTTGGAATCCCGCTTCGACGTGGCCGTTCTGTGAGGTGTGTTGCCTCGTTTCGGTCTGCTGTAAGCGGTGCGATAAGACCAACATCTTCAAGCTCTTTGCCTTCTTTTTGAAGGCGATCTTCGATGTCCAAGAGCAAAAGTGTTCTTAAAAGATTCCGTGTAACGTTGGCGCCAGCAAGGTTTCTATGGTAATCGTCCATCATTTGTTCCCAGTGTGTTTCAAAAAGTTCGTTAGGATCCGCAGGATTGCAATGTAAAATGATGTGGACGAAAAGATCACGGACCATGGGTGATGGCGAGGTGAAAATAGCATCACGAAGGACAGTGTCAAATTGGGTGTTGTCATTAAGAAGGCCGAGTGCCTTGCATGCAGATTGGAATGTAGGGTGAGTGTGGTTGTCGACGGTTCGTAAGTGGGCGAATGTGGTTGCACCGCGGGAGTGCGGCGAAGTAAGTAGCATGCGTAGGTAGAATGTGTCACCTGCGTTTGGATGGATGCTGTGGATACGGCCAATAGTGTTTGGTGCACATTGTCGCAGGACCCATTGTTTACTTGATTTATCAAATCTGGACCTACGGACCATGTCTTTGTAAAGGGGCTTGGTTTCTTGAGGATCATGAAGATGTGTAGTATTCCATTTGAACCATGCTGTGAGTTCGGTTTCGGGCGGCGGAGCATGTGCAATTTGTTGAGCTACTCTCTCTCTCTCTCTCTCTCTCTCTCTCTCTCTCTCTCTCTCTCTCTCTCTCTCTCTCTCTCTCTCTCTCTCTCTCTCTCTCTCTCTTCCCAAA